TGCAAAAGACTCTTGCACAACCCAAAAGAAATATGGGAGAAAAGGGAGGAGATAAAAACAAAGCTTAAGGGAAAGACAGACATTAGGAAAGAAGTGTTATCACAGATAAAAATTTTTTCTTTAAAACATTAATTTTTAACATTTATTTTTAAAGGTGTGTATGTCTGTCTGTCTGTCTGTCTTCCTTCCTGCCTGCCTGTGTGCACATAAGTGCAGGTGGCCACAGTTTCCAGAAGAGGGTGATTCCCTAAAGCTGAAGTTATAGGTAGTTGTGAGCCACCTGGCATGGGTACTAGGAATTGAACTCAGCTCTCTGCATGAGCAGCAAGCTTTATTCACTGAACCATCTGTCCAGCCTCCAGTAATATTCTTATATTGGTTTTTTTTTTAAAGGCATCAATCTCCCAGGAAGATAGTTAGTTATAAACTATGCAAACAAATAAAATGACAAAACCAAGAAGAGATAAAGAAAATTCAATAATCATAATTAAAGACTACAAAGCTCTGTAAATGACTAGAAAGGGAAAAGAAAAAACATGAAAAATTATATGAAAGAGCTGGAACAACAAAATTAACAAACTTGCCAAAACTGGCATCCATCGAGCACCACGTCTACAAGGACAGACACTGTGCCAAGTGCCCACCACACTGCAGTCTTGATCACACCGAGTCAGAAAATAAGACAGCTTCAAAAGATGAGTCATTCAGTGTGTTCTCAACCCAGAATGCGAGCCAGACGTAAAAAACCAACGGTAACCATCAAAATCACAGAATCAAAAAACTAGGTAATGACCCCCTAAATAATCCATGAGTTAATTAAAAATATCAAACAGAAAACAAATAACATGTCTTTTAACTAAAAAATAAATAAACAAAAAAATAAACAAATGAATGAGTAAGTAGCCTATCAACACCTGGCAGGTAAAGACACTGAGGAAAACGCATAGCCTTAAATACAGATAGAGAGATAGACAGTCCCCACCTTAGAATGCTGTAGTTTTGAAATCTGATGACTTCATGAATGCTAGAAAGAGAAGGGCATTCAAAAGAAACTCCTCCTGACAATCTGATTTTTAGGCCACTGTCTCCTATGGGCACAGACATAGCATCTAACCAAACACCAGCAAACCAATTCTAGCCATTTATCAAAGGATCCTATAATTTGACAAAATCAGGCTTATTTTCAATAATAAAAGATTAGCTTAACTTAATAAAAATCAATGTAATTTTCCACATTAACAGACTAAAGGAGAAAAAAACATAACCATCTCAATAAATTCAAGAAATGCATCTGACAAGATACAATATTCTCCCATAATTAAAAACATTTCTCAAACCATGAGGAACTAAAGATAGACTTTTGTATCTTTTGGCTAGCCCCATGGTGGTCTGAATGAGGAGTCCCACAGGCTCAGGCATTTGCACACTGTATAAGATTTGGGTGGGGCAGCCTTGCTAGACAAAGTGTCATTGGGGTCTCAGAGTAGAACTCTGCTGGTACTTCCAGTTGGCTCTCTCCATTTTGAGCTCTACTTGAGATCTGAGCCCTTGGCTCCCGCTCCTGCCACACCTCCTGCTCACTACCGTGCTTCTCTGCCATATCAGGCTTTACCCTCTGGAACCATATGCCCAAATAAACTCTTCCTCTATAAGCTGCCTTGCTCATGGGGTTTTATCATAGCAACAGAAAAGAAACTAACATGGCCGCTAAGAACGCTTACAAGAACTATGAGTTGAATAGATAGATAGATAGATAGATAGATAGATAGATAGATAGATAGACAGACAGACAGACAGACAGACAGACAGACAGACAGACAGACGCTTGCTTCGGCAGCACATATACTAAAATTGGAAAGATAGATGATAGATAGATAGATAGATAGATAGATAGATAGATAGATAGATAGATAGATAGACAGACAGACGGATAGATGGATAGATGGATAGAGCAAGCAAGCGAGCAGACATTTTCCTTCTTCTAAGATCAGGGTAGACAAAGTCGACCGTCATCAGCTTGTGCTGACGTATTTGAACACTAATAATAAGATGGAGAAACACTGACTGGAAAGAAAGGAAGGACAGGAGAGGGAGGAAGACAGACAAGTAGGCAGATTGGTTACTTGATACAAGGTCAGTTACATAAGTCAATTCTATTTCTACAGGCAAGAAATTTGTCTTTTAAGTAACTGTATCTAAACATCAAACAATCAATCAAACAAAGCATGTGCCATTCCTATAGACAAAACCAAGTTTAAAGCATTATTACGAAAAATTAAAGGAGGCAGAGGCAGGTAGATCTCTGTGAGTTCAAGGCCAGCCTGGTCTACAAAGTGAGTTCAGAACAGCCAAGGCTACACAGAGAAACCCTGTCTCAGAAAAAAAAATTAAAGAACAACTAAGTAAATGACAAATACATCATGTTCATAGATGACAAAATTCAGCATGTTAGACATGGCCAACTATCCAGTTCAATGTTCAGACCAGTTTTATATGGATATGTATTTAATGAGATCATTATAAAATATATACAAGCATGCAAAGATCCAAGGACATCAAGTCCACACTGCAGAACTACACTAACGGACAGAGCTATCTGCAATAGTACCAACCCTCTTACAAGCTACAGTGATCCTGCACTGTGGAATAATGACAAGGGAGCAAATCTCCAAAGTGTCAATTAACTGTTATGACAAAAACAACTCTTTTGAGACAGGGTCTAATGTAGCTCAGGCTAGCCTTGAACTTTTGTTCCTTCTCCCTCCACCTCCAACGTACTAGAATGACAGGTATTGCACAACCATTTACCTTTTAAATAACTACCTTTAAATCTACCTTTAAATAACTGTGGCTGAGTTTACTAGCTATCCATTGGGAAAACAGAATTATCTAGATCACTTCTTCATGTGACATAAAAGAGCTAATATAATGAAGTTCCTTTACAAAACAATTTATTAAGGTAAATCAAAGTTTCTTAACCAGAGCACAAAACATGCTTAAAGAAAACATGACAAGCCAGGTGTGGTGAGACAGGCTTTTAATCCCAGTACTCGGGGGGCAGAGGCAGGCAGATCACTCTGAGTTCAAGGCCAGCCTGATCTACAAAGTGAGCCTAGCATAGCCAAGGCTACACAGAAAAACCCTGTCTCAAAAATAAATAAATAAATAGATAAATAAATAAGTAAACACAAAGGGAGGGAGGGAGGGAGGGAGGGAGGGAGGGAGGGAAGGAAGGAAGGAAGGAAGGAAGGAAGGAAGGAAGGAAGGAAGGA